ACCAAGATTTGGCAGCAAAGCTAGTGAGCTTGGTATTGATCCAGAAAAGCCGTTAAAAGACAGGTCCAAGTATGTGAGATTCTTGAGCTGGCCGAGAAAGTCAGGTACTGTCCCTGTGAGATTTAGCCAGTCAAGTCTGAGAGACGTTAGGTGTACGAGCTTGGCAATGGCGGGCTGTACGGGGCCTGTAATATCAGTCAGCTTGCGAAACACAAGGTTCTGGAGATAGGGCAAGTCCCCAACTGCAGCCGGGATTTGGCCAGAAAGGTTGCCAGCAAAAACGGTGAGAGAAATGATGCGGTTGGTTGTGGAGTCGCACTCAACCTGGTACCAGTCTGTGCAGCAATCAGTATCTGACTTCCATGAGGCTAAGAGGTAAGGATCGCCAAAATCTTTTTTGATTTGGAGGAGAACCTGTTTATCTTGGGGATTGCAAAGTTCTTTTGAGAGGGAGTGTGAAAGAAGGGTAGTGGAAATGATTAGGGAAAGGAAAAGGGTATTCATGTTTGCTTCTGCTCTGGTAGATCTCTTCTTCCTTTCCTCACCTTGTTCTTTGAGAAATGGAGCGCAAATGCTCTATTTAAAGGGTTCTGGCATTGATATGTTCGTATGGTATGACGAAAGACTACAGGCACCTCAAAGCTGGATTTATCGAGGGAAAGTCCAAGCAAATCTTGGCCAAAATGTTTGACTAAACTATGCCATAAATGTGTCAGATTTCAATTCGTTTCTGCTCACGTGAGTAGTTTGTGTTCGTCCTCTTGACTACTTTTATTAAATTCTATCTGTCTTCAATTGTTGGCCAAGTGTTCAAGTTATAATTCTTACTGGCGGTGTATTATATATTTATTATGGATACCATCACATATTCTTCCCTCTTGTCCTGCCTTGTTATCTACTCGAGGGCTGGAAAATTCAGTCGAAAAAACTCTCTGGAAAATAAACTAAATACAATATAATTTCAACCATAAAACACTTTATACAGAACAAAGGCTTCCTCTTAATCATCTTTACACGACTACACGAAACCAAACTAGTTTGCACCAGTCAATGACGAGGGTCATGTTCGTTGCTTCGTTTCGGTGTGCGTTTGATTGGTCCTGTATGGAATCAAAATGTGATAAGGTTGCAATTGCCTTAGTGATTTGATTGGTTTGGACTACAAGGAACTCAAGTGTCCATTAAGAAAAGATTGAGAAAGGGGATAGCAACTAAAATATAATAAACTTTCTCGATGGAACCTACAAAAATATTATAATTTATTATTGTTTATATGATTTTTTACGGATAGTTTTATGCGAATTTTACTTTATGTATAGATCTCATTTTGAAATTTGGTAGGGATTAATTTGCTTTCCACCTTCGAAACCATCTGCTCTTTTCTGTTTATATTATAAATAAGATTTTACAGAATATATTTGGATGAGAATACGGTCCATATATAATCACAATGTTAAGATATCATTATCATATCTTTTTTTTTTTCTTAAGTGAAAGGTTAAATGGGTTGCCCTTCATTCTAAAAAATCTCATCTCGATCTTATAAAAAATTCGAGGATAGAGTTTTTATTTTTATTTTTTGGTCCAATCTATAAAAAAACTACGACGGGTTTGACTTTTCTCTTACAAGTATGATGAGAGTTTGTTAGGCCAAAGTTTTGTTTGACCCGCGTAATATTCACTTAAGATGAAGTCCAAGTGAACTTGTCTTGCTTCAAAGGTTGTAATTAAAGACTCTTTTGTGTTCAAGTTTAGTAGAATTAAGAAATCCTTTATTTTTTAACTCACAATTATTGGGTAAGCACGTGCCGTTTTTTTCTTCTCTCCCTCTCTTAATTTTCTATCTATTTATATTCTTCTTCTTCTTTTGTTTATTAAAGACTCGAAATTGAAATTGAAATTGGGTTGTGATGTTCTTTTTCATCGCTTCCTCTATTTGACGGATATAACTAAGAAAAATTAAGGTAATGATGTGTTTAGTTATTTTAATTTTGTTTTTAATTTAGTGCATGAAATTCTAGCATTGTTTTAAATACTAGAGGGATTCGAGCATTGATATTTTTGTATTATGTGGACATTATGATTCTTATAAGGGGCATATTTGTTCTTTAGTGTGTTTTTGAATTTTTAAAAATGATTTTTTAATTGAATATGTATTAAAATAATATATTTTTGATTTTTTTATTTTTAATAATGACAAATTAAAATTATTGAAAAACACCTTAAAAACACATTAAATTAATACTTCTACAAAAAAAAAAACCTGAGAAGCATTTAAAATTTTAAAAAATAAACCGTATTATTAAACACACCTGGCTCTTTATAGTCCTGTTTTTAATTTCGAGATGGTTTGGAAGGATATAGTTTAGGAGTTGAAATCTCAAAAAGAAGATACAGCGTAGAACTACACTTAAAAACACCTCCATCACAAACAATTTAATTTTTTTATTTTATTTCAAAAATGTTTTTGAAAATAATTAAATTTTTTATGTTTTCATATAATTTTAAAATACTGATATTAATAATAATTTTTTTAAATAATTTTTTTAATAAATTTCTAAAAAAAATACTTCAAAAAATAACTATTACAACACCCCACCCCCAAGTACTCTTTTATCCAATTGACTTAACCCCAATCTCAAGAAGAAGATATTTTTGTATTACGTGGACATTACGATTCTTACATGCATAATATTGTTTGGATACATGTATTAAAAAAAGAAGATTTGAAAGAGTCGACATTGACAAAACCCCACAACGTATTTAAAAAATGAAACCGTAAGTGTATGGAGTAATTGTGAATTTAAAAAGCATAAAGGTCATATATATATATATATATATATATATATATATATATATATATATGTATGTATGTATGTATGTATGTATGTAGGATGGATAGCTAGATCTTGCATGAATATTGTTGCCTCCCAATTTTCTTTAAATTGATCATGTTTTGTGTTAATTTAACACTTCAGTTTCTTCGAATCTCTTCATGGATTTCTCCTCTTGAGACCACCACGATTAGCGCTTGTCATCTAGTTTTTTTTTCGACGCCAGCCCCATATTTCCAGCTTCCAGTCAAATAGGTTAAATTCAGTTATTGTTTGACTTGAATGTATTTTATCGTTTTCCCACGTAACAATTTAGGCAATTTACTCTTGGGAACGCGGTTTCAACTAAATTGTTTTTTGAAAAAATAAAAATTAATTTTTTTAAAATAATTTTAGATGCGTACCATGTCAAAAATAATTTTAAAAAATAAAAAAATAATATTTTTATAAATTTTGCCATCTAAAATATTGCAAACTACAATTGTTATTACACTCCTAATTACCTAAAATTACAAAGCTATTATTGATCTCCATCGTATGCTCATTGCTATTTTATAGTGAATAATAATTTTTTTAATTTATAAAATCATTAATCATTTGGGATATACTAATTATTTCATCATTGTCCAGCTATGTTTTTGTAGTAAAACAAATGAGATATAAATTAATGAAAAAAATCATTAATAATAATTAAAAAAATTCAGAGATGTAGATTAAGATATGATAGGAAAATATAATGAAATTATGATAGTAAAATAGATAGTTGGCTCGTGTTTTATTGTATACCGACGTGATGATTTTTTTTTTTTAATGTGAAAAACAATGTTCATCAATCACTGAAATCTTGGAGTATCGGAGGATGGATTTAACCATTTCTTCCTCATAATTTCTAATATTTCGTTGAAAATAATTATACTGCTAATTAGGTTCATTGTGGGAAGAATGCCAGCTCGCGCAGGAGGTATTTGGAACATGTTCCGCCACGAGAACATCTTATAAATAATTCTTTGAAGTACGAGTTTGGCATCAATCATTGCATAATAATTATCAGACAAATGAATCGCATAAATTTCATCTTCCAGATGGCCGTAGTGATCAAGCAATGATCATGATGGTCGACTGAGAAGCATCTAAATAAAAATAAGACTACTCTACTTTACAGTCTGCTTTTCTCCTCGCAAAGGCACCAAGTGTGCCATTCTGCTAACAACGATTTGCATATCAACAGAAATATTCTTTAGCGTACGTAGCCATCATTAATTATTCAGAGAGTTCTCTAAAGCAAAAGATGCTCAATCTGTAAATGGGATATTTATTCTTGGTCCAAGAAACTTAGCAAAATAGAATCCATCAACGAGGGAGGAGCCTAGTCTGTCAATGCCTAAGCTACGTACCAAAACCAAGTACAAAGAGTTTGAAGCACAACAGCTCTGGTGCTTTGGCTACTGATGACCTTTTTGCCTATATTAAGGGAATCGGTTTATATGAAGGAAACAGAATTTCTATCCCTTCTATGAAGAAAGTCATACTGACAGCAAGAAATTAAACTAAGGAAGAATAAAGATAGAGAGAATACTGGATAAAGCGTCTTTATGTGCAACAAACAGATTTCTATGCTGCTTTTTTCCTTCTTTAAGCTCACCACGGTATTTTTAACTCATAAAAATTTCCAAAGTTAACAGTTTTTGCTTCCTTTTCCTCGCATTAGCTTTGCTTCAGAACCCAGAAAGAAGAGAGGAGCGAGCTGTCCTCACTAAGTGATGCAGCTCAAATAAAGTAACCAGAATTGCCATGCCTTGAGTGATAAGATTTTCTGGACTGGAGATTGAAGGGTAATGTGGGTAGTTTAATTTTTCAGTTGACAATTTTATAAAGCTACGATAGCTGAAAGAATCTAGGATAGTGAACATGCACTGAATCACTTTATTTTAAAAACTAAAAAGATTATCTTTGTCCTTTCAAGTGGGGAGGCAATCGCCTTTTCCTAATCTGAGACTCATTATGGACGATTCCAACCTTGCATTTATTCTTGTAAGCAAAACACAAGCCTTCCCCATTACACTTCATCTAGTGGAACTCGTAGCATTGCAGCAGTTCTTAGTAATTCTCTCTTACCTTTTCCTTCCAAAATTAAGATTCTTTTTTCCTGCCCAAAGCAAAAGCGGAGTTGGTACATGCTCTCAAGTTAAGCCTCAGCAGGAGGTTTATATAAACTTGGTTCTTGGTTTTAGCAGATAGCTTTTAAAACCTAAACTCCTACTGCACTTGAGACTCCTTGTAATCAGTGCTTCCTCATCACCCTCAAAGATTCCAAATGCCTAAAAAGTCATAACATTCGGAGAACAGATCATTTGCTAATCGCGGCTTTCTTGGGAGGGTAAGAGTTCCTGGCAGTGATATGAGTCAGAGAAAGGAGGTGAAGATGAGCAACTCTGGCTGCCAAAATTCTTATTGCATGTGAAGGTGAGAAATTAAATCTCTATGACATCTAGATGAACATTCCTTTCCATCCATACCGCATCCGTTCTTCTAATCAATATTGCTTTTGCTGTTTCCACTTCAGGCACTGAAACTACTCGAGCAACTAAAGATACTTAAACTTCCACAAGTCTTGCGGACTGAGTTAATTGGAGTCAATCCTGTGCATCAATACACAAGCAGCAAGCTTTGCTGCTGCAGGAAGTTCTTAGGAAAAAACACTGGAAAAGGGCTCCCTTGATTTTGCACCGATGAATCCATTAGCTGCTCCTGACCACAAAGATGACTTCAAATTGAAGGACACAAAGCCTCAGCTTGGGGAACGTTGGCCTCATGGAGGACCACGCGGTGGAGGTGGGTGGATTAGCAGTGAAAGAGCAACAAGCACGTATGATCTTGTGGAGCAGATGTTTTATCTGTATGTCCGAGTTGTGAAAGCCAAAGATCTTCCCACAAACCCAGTAACTGGAAGCTGCGACCCCTACATAGAAGTTAAGGTCGGGAATTATAAAGGAGAAACACGGCATTTTGAGAAGAAGACCAACCCTGAATGGAAACAGGTTTTTGCATTCTCAAAGGAGAAAATTCAGTCTTCGGTAGTTGAAGTACTACTAAGAGATAGAGAGAAAGTGAAAAGAGATGATCACGTAGGAAAGGTGGTCTTTGACGTGCATGAAGTGCCTACAAGGGTTCCACCAGACAGCCCCTTAGCCCCTCAATGGTATAGATTAGAGGCTCTCCATGGAGATAACAAGGTGAAAGGAGAGGTGATGCTTGCAGTTTGGATGGGTACACAGGCTGATGAAGCATTTCCGGAGGCCTGGCACTCAGATGCTGCTTCAGTTCATAGGGAGGGTGTTCTCAATATCCGATCAAAGGTTTATGTTTCACCGAAACTTTGGTATCTTAGGGTAAATGTGATTGAAGCTCAGGATGTAGAACCGCTTGACCGAAGTCAGTTACCACAAGTTTTTGTGAAAGCTCAAGTTGGAAACCAGATACTCAAAACTAAGCTATGCCCAACCCGAACAACAAACCCTATGTGGAATGAAGATCTGATATTTGTAGCAGCAGAGCCTTTTGAGGAGCAGTTGACACTTACTGTCGAAAATAAAGCAAGTCCTGCAAAAGATGAAGTTGTGGGGAGAGTAGATTTGCCACTCCAAATCTTTGAGAGGCGCCTGGATTACCGGCCAGTTCACTCCAAGTGGTTCAACCTTGAAAGATTTGGGTTCGGTGCTCTGGAGGGAGACAAGGGGCACGAACTCAAATTTTCAGTTAGGCTTCATCTCAGAGTTTGCCTTGAGGGTGCTTACCATGTACTAGACGAATCAACAATGTATATAAGCGACCAACGACCAACAGCGCGGCAGCTCTGGAGGCAGCCTGTAGGAATCCTGGAAGTCGGTATCCTAAGTGCGCAAGGGCTTCTTCCAATGAAAACGAAGGAAGGGAGAGGAACTACTGATGCCTATTGTGTAGCCAAGTATGGGCTGAAGTGGGTACGGACCAGAACGATCATCGAAAACTTCAATCCAAAGTGGAATGAGCAGTATACATGGGAGGTGTATGACCCTTCCACGGTGATTACCTTGGGAGTTTTTGACAATTGCCACTTGGGTGGGGGTGAAAAACCGTCGACTGGTGGTGGAGCTCGAATTGACTCGAGAATTGGAAAGGTAAGAATTCGACTATCTACCTTGGAAACAGATCGAATATACACGAACTCCTATCCACTTCTAGTCCTACAACCATCTGGACTGAAAAAGATGGGAGAACTCCAACTAGCAGTTCGATTCACCTGTCTATCACTAGCAAATATGATTTACCTATACGGGCACCCCTTGTTGCCGAAAATGCATTATTTGCATCCTTTTACTGTAAATCAGCTAGACAGTTTGAGGTATCAGGCCATGAATATTGTAGCAGTTAGGCTTGGCAGAGCTGAGCCACCACTAAGGAAAGAGATTGTGGAGTATATGCTGGATGTGGATTCTCACATGTGGAGCATGAGAAGAAGCAAAGCTAACTTCTTCCGTATTGTGTCGCTTTTTTCTGGTGTGATCTCAATAAGCAAGTGGCTTGGTGAAGTGTGTAAATGGAAGAACCCACTCACAACAGTCTTAGTTCATGTTTTATTTTTCATATTGGTCTGCTACCCGGAACTAATTCTGCCTACTATTTTTCTTTATATGTTCCTGATCGGAATAGGGAATTACCGTCTCCGCCCAAGGCACCCCCCTCACATGGATACCAAACTTTCATGGGCAGAAGCAGTTCAGCCAGATGAACTGGATGAAGAGTTTGACACTTTTCCCACATCAAAGCAACAAGATGTGGCGCGAATGAGGTATGACAGACTTAGGAGTGTTGCGGGAAGGATCCAGACCGTGATGGGAGACATGGCCACACAAGGGGAACGTTTTCAGGCTCTGCTCAGCTGGAGAGACCCAAGAGCAACCAGCCTATTCGTAATTTTCTGCCTTATTGCAGCTGTGGTGCTCTATATAACACCTTTTAAAATAATTACCTTGGTTACAGGCTTATTCTGGCTGCGACATCCTAGATTTCGCAGCAAGCAACCATCAGTTCCCAGCAATTTCTTCAGGAGGTTGCCATCTCGTGCTGATAGCATGCTCTGAACAAAAGGAAAAGACTCTGTATCTTGTTCTGCTTTCAGTTTTTTGTTGTGTTGGTTGGAAATGTTTCTTAATTAAAAAAAAATCTTTGGATTTCCTGGTGTCTCATTTTCCTTCTTCATGCTAGGATCTTAATCTCTGTGTTGCTTTGAAGAAAATTATGTAATAAAGCAGTTTTATTAAGAACCGGTTTAATGTTTTGATAACACAAACATAAAATTGATTAGATTTATTTAACAGCCTTCGCATTTGGTTTTTCATTTTCCTCACTCTTTTCGGCAAACACGTACCCTAATCATGCTCTGGATGTAGAATGTTTTGTCATAAACAGCATTGCCATAAAGAACAATCATAGGTTAATTCCTTGATTTAGTAAATAGAATAAACAATTTTAATAAAATATTTGACATTAATAGACAGAAAAGAACAAAACAATACCATGGGAAAACCAAAAAATATTCATGTGCAAAAAACTGGAATCTTTGCCATAACTATCAAATCATACAACCATTGATTATTAGTGTGAGAGAACTAAATCAGTTTTACCTAGAAGACAGGCTCGCGACGTTTAATGCCTGACTTCAGAGAGAATCTTGCACCCAAGTATGACTTCGAATCTGCGATTCCTTCAATGGCCTTCATCAAAGGAGCATCCACTGCTTTTTGATCTTCCTTCTTATCCGATGAGAACATAAATGAACAACAAAAATGGGATTGGGTTTATATTGATCATAACGAAGGTCACCCTCAAGCAGAAATGGAGATTACTGTGTAAACTAATCATACCAACTTACATACTTCAGCTATATCCATATCAGATAACCTCCTTTCCAACATACAACGCAATCAAGTTCAAAGTCGTGAAGACATTCTTGACACTATAAATTAGGGTCAAAACTTCTAGTTTATTCTGATTTTTACTTAAAAATAACTAATCTAATTTTTTTTAAAAAAAATTAAAATTAAAATCAATTCAAATCGATCAGTTTCGATTCCATTTGATTCGATTAATTAAAAAAAAATCAGAAAAAAAAAACCAATTTACTAAGTTATGCTGCCATGAAACCATCCAATAAGTGTTGTTTGGTGGTGAACATTTGATTATCTCTAAAATCTCAACGTTCCTTTACCTTCAAGCTAGCTCTCCTCCAGAAAATCAAAGGAAGTGCATGAAGACGGTTGGCAAGGATCAGAGCATTCCTTTCCTTTCAAGCTAACTCTCCTTCGAAAGTAAGAGGAAGTGCATGAAAACTATTTATATTACCAAAAAAAGGTTTTTCTAGATTCTGATAGAGAGATGAATAAGATGGAGTAGGTTAGGGTAAGGGGGTTAGAAAAAGAAAATAAAAGTAGATGGATCTAAAAGCTATTTATATTATCACACTATTTTTTTTTATTTGAATCGTTTCGGATTGGTTTATTCTGTTTCAACCTTTTAAAACTGAAATTAGACTAAACAAAATTATTTTTTTAATTTTTTTTTTACGGTTCGGTTTTTTCAGTTATATTTTTTTCGATTATCTCAGTTTAATCGATTTTTTAGTTTTTTTACTCACCCATATTATAAATGAGGTAACATCTCCTGACCTTTTTATTTCACATGATCTTATGAAGTACAATTTACCTCATAGGCATAATTAAGGGATACCCCCAAACCAGTAATCACTAGAAACAAAGAAAATCCAAATACACAATTGCAAATTTTGTCTCGACCAATAACATGTCTAATGTAATAAAAGTTTTTATGATAAAACTATCCTTAGAATAGGTCTATACAACATTAAAAAATTCATGTTACGTAAACACTAAAAGATGGCTATTTATGATAAAATGATAATGAACAATACCTGGAAGTTAACTATACTGCCAATTAAAAAAAGATAGTTAGATATAAATAGGTGTTTATTATGAAGTATCAAATGAAATACTAGAGTGATATAAGACGAGATTGATGGCTAAAAGATACACACAATTATATGGTATAGACTACTAGGGAACTTTTTTATCGATAGCTAAACTAAACATAATCTGAATACTATTATCACTACCAATAAATTTGGATTGGCCTTTACATCAATTTGATGTAAAGTATGCATTTTTTTTTAATAGAGATTTAAAGGAGGAAGTTTACATGAATGTCCTCTCTGGTTTTACTAGAAGAAGAGCAGAAAATATGGTATGCAGGCATACAAAATTACTTTATGGACTGAAATAATCTTCCTGAGTATGGTTTAGAAGATTCAGTCTAGCAATGTGGAAGCATTGATTTAGCTAAAAAGATTCAAACCATATATTATTTATAAAATGAAATTGAGGGAAACAATGGATTTGATTATCTATGTTGATGACATGATAATTACAGGTAATGACGAAGAAGTCTTAAAATTATAAAAGTAGCTAGCAAGTGAATTTGAAATAAATATCTTAGTGGGTTAAAGTATTTTTTGGGCATTAAAGTATACAAATTAAGACAAGGCATATTCATATCATAAAGGAAGTATACATTGAATTTATTAGCTGAAACATGTATGTTGGACTACAAACTTATGAATATAACAATCATAAAAAAGCATCTTATTGTAACCCAATTTTGGTCCATTGACTTTTAATTTAATTTTACAGGATTTAAAATGTAAAATTAAAATATCAGAGATTTATTTTGATAAAAAGTGTGATTTGTCAACTTACATGAAAACTAGAAACTACAATTTGCCTTTGTCATTATATCCTTATCCTTAAGATAATCTTTATTCTCAAGATAATTTTTATCCTCAAGATAATTCTTATCTTCTTCAAGATAATTCTTACCTTCTTAAAGATAATCCTTATCTTGAAGGTACTTGAAGGTAATCCTTACCTTCAAGATAATGATAGTTGTTTGCTTTCAAATTCGAGTCTAATTTAAACTTCAAAAAAAAAGAATGAGTTTGATTGAGACTTTACTTCTTACACGTGAAATGACTCTGACACTATAAATACAGACCTCAGTGTATGCAAAAAAAAGAGAAAGAGGATGGACAATTAGAGAGAAACCTTGAAAGAAAAGACCCCAAAAGAAGGCCATTAGCAGACACCCTAAAAGAGAGAAACATAAAAAAAAAAAAAGAGCGGCGAACCTTATACTAGCCGCCACCCCCTCAACCCCTCTATTGTTTAGCCCGATCTCCCTCAACTTTTCCTCTAGCTGCTGCACGCCTAGGTAAGTTTCCTTCTTTCCTTGTTAAAATAATTAACTAGTCACTATTGCATATATGCATGAACTTTTCACGCATGGCTAGGCTCAACATAAAAAGAGAAAAAAAGAGTTGGCCGGGTTTAGGCTTTAGGCCTAGCCGACCCACACTGTGTTTGTTAAAGGTGTGTTTGGCAGAACACACCCTTATGCCTTGGTCATAATTTTTATGCCCATTTTAGTTAGATATTTGGTCGAACGAGCCCTTTTTAGATATTAGAAAATTCAAAAATATTTGGGAATCTTCATTGATTTATTTATAGGTCTCTTACATTTTGTTTTATTTTTTTTCTTGTGTTTATATTTCTTGTAAATATGCTCAATTTGTGGACTATTACTGTTAAATGTAAATATATCATGCAATGTTTTTTTATACTTCCGTTTAAAAAGGGAAAATAATAATAAAGGATAAACAAGAAAAAAAGGACATAAAAAGTTTCTTCTTCAAATTCATTTTTGCAAAAATATTCACTAACACCAGAGTCAAGAGTATCGTATTTTTTATTTTGTGTGATATTTACCAACGTCAGAGGTTGAAATATTCGTAAGAATTGTTCACTGACGCTAGAGTTAGGAACATGAAAGGAAGAATAAAAAGAAACAAAAAAGAAAACAAATTCTTAGCAATTTTAGACAAAACCAGCAATGCAGCCTGCCTTAGGTAGGACGCTTAAAGGGTGATAGCGTCTTCCCTTTTGTGTAACCAGTTCTGTATCATAGAATTTTTGTTGAACAGTTAGGGTTTCTAGTGACCATAATACAAGGTGGCAACACTTTGAACAAGACATTTTCCCCTAAAAAAACAAAATACCAGATATCTGTTCTTTTTCCAATCGAGATAATTTTTAATCGATCGCGGCAATGTTCGAGTGTGACACATCTTTTAGAAAAACACCTTAATTAGGTTCTTACAAACAAAGAAAGATATTAAAAATTGGTGGGAAAACTCATTTACCTATCAGATACAGTCCTGATATCACATATGCAATCAGTCTAATTAGTCAATTCATGCACAACCCAAATGAAGTACATATAAAAGCAGCATTGCGAGTGTTTAAATGCTTAAAGTCTTTTATAGGACGAGAAGATCTCTTCTTAAAGAATCATCACTTTAACATCATTGGTTATACTAATGCAAACTAAACCGAGAATCTGATTGACATAAAATATACTCATGATACTTTAACTTTGTAGGGGAAACTTGGTAACTTTGAAAAGTAATAAGCAAAAGATTGTTGCTTTATCTACTGCTCAAGCAAAATTTAAATGAATGACTAAAGGATTATATGAAGTACTATAGATAGAGGGGTTGTTTAAGAAGCTAAGATATCCTATAGATATTAAAATTAAGATGTATTGTGACAACAAAGCTACAAATACCATAAACAATAACCTAATTCAATATGATCAAACTAAATACGTGGATGTAAATAGACATTTCATTAAGCAAAATCTCAACGAGAAAACTGTGATTAACCTAATTCAATATGTAAAGGTTAATTGCATGATATACTTACTAAAGCAATATCAAATAAAATATTTCATTTCTCTCAAAAAAAGTTAGACATATAAGATATCTTTGTACCAATTTGAGGGGAAGTGTTGATAGAAATCAATTTAGTGATTAAAAAGATACAAATCAAAAAAACTAGAAATCAATAATATGTTTAGGAAAGACTTTGTATATTTATTTTTTTAGTATTTATATCCTTAATAGAACTATTATTATACATGTATAAATGTATATTATATATAATAAAATACAAGACACAAAATTATACATATATCATTATCTTTATTAGTCTTGATAAGTTCATCTCTATGCAATATGTTATCCATGACATTGAGAGTGAGGTTTTTATCAACTCATT